ATTTTCAATTCATGTTTTTATATAATTTTAACACTTTAAATTTACTTTTTTTTAAATTTTGTTACTAAAGTTTCATTTTAATAATTTTTTTCAGGTAACTGAATTTTTTTTTGACATTTCAAATTTAGATGTTTGAAAATTTTTGTTTTGATGGATGATGTGACATTCAAATTAATTTTTGAGGATTTGGGAAACCCAATATATGAGGTCATTTTGAAAAAAGTGATATAAATTTTTGTGTCTTTGTGAATTAATTATAAATATTGAGAAATATAAAATTCGAGTCAACTGAAATTTCTATTAACCAGTATCCATATCAGTCATATGTGTCTGACGGTAATAAGTTCCACAACCTACTAAAAATTTCTTGGATGGTAAATGAAAAACAATTAACATAGGACCATGTCAGTCATATATGAGTGACATAAAAAAATGCGTTTTTTCAAGAATTTTTTATAGAGAAACATCGTAAAAAATATAAATCTTATAGTATCTCACAAAATAAATATATTTTATTTTTTTAAGCTTTCATGAAATAAACCATTTTTTTTATAATAAATTTATTTATTTAGCATTAATCCAATAGTACAAAATATTCCAGTTCAATAATAAAATATTGTAAAAACAATTTTAGTGAACATTTTTATATAATTTCTTTAGTACAGATATCAAAATATACATATGCAATATTACGTAATTATTAGCAAATTTTTATTTTTTACACGTATTACATCTCTTTGCCTTTTTCATTTTTGCATGTAATTTTTTGCGGAAGCATTCTGGTATTTTCCATGGATATTCAGGATGATTTAAAACTCCTTCCCATTCTCTAAAACAAGATAAATAAACTACATTTCAAAATAATATTTAAAAAACAAGAATTAGAATAGATTTTCTAAGAATGTTTGAGGAATATATATTAATGAAGTGAATATAGTACATATTAATGTAATAATTTTAGATGATATACTATGTTAAAATGGTGCTTAAATTTTGTTTGAAAGGATCTAAAAGGTTCTAGTAAGGTTGTAAATTATTCCAAAGTAACATGCAAGGTTTTTGACTCGGGATTTTGCGAATACATCTTTTTACCTTCTTCCAAATTAAGATTTTGTAATTATATTTTAAAAATATAATTGATTTATTTTTACCTGAAGTGAAATATACGTCCTTCTTCTCCTAAATGTAAACATCCAAGTTTTCTCATATGTTTCGGAGTTAATTCAATAAACTGAGCCGCAAAATTTTCTTTCATAAAATTTCTAGATTTGGCCATCGGTATTGGAATTGCTCCCAAATGAATTAAGTACGCTAAAATCAGCTATTTCCAACAAAATAACATTAGTTGGTAATTAAATAAAACACTAATTGTTTCAATAAAATAATAATAAAAGTTCAATTCATTTTTGGTTGCTCAAAGACAATTCAGTGGAAAAATAGACTTTTGAGAAAATTAAAATCGAGTTTTTCTGGTATTTTCATAAGTAAATTCTCGTATAAGGTGAAATATAGAATATTACTATTACATTTACAATTCTATTATAATTAAATTGTTTTAAAAATTTTACTACCTGGGCAGGAGTACAACTCAATTCCTTGGCACACTTTACGATTAAGGGATGTTTAAGGGCAGATTTATGTTGTTTAGACACAGCATTTCCATTACTTCCAAATGGACTATAAGCTACCAATTCCATATCATTACATCGGCAATAACACGATAACAACTTCTAAAAAAAATTAATCGAATAAATCAAAAATTTATTAGAAAGTCAAATGGTCCTTAAGAGAAGCAGTATATTTTATCATTTACTTCTTGTAAAAATGCATGCATTTCAACTTGCAAGCAGCTAGGTCTAATTTTACAATTTGTAAATAATTTCTCCATTTGTTTAATATTGAAATTGGATAATCCTATGTGTTTTACACGTTTTTCTCGGACAGCCTGTTCCATACCCTTCCAGACTTCTACATGATTTGTACAATAGTCCCATCTTATTTTTTCATTTCCTTCTTTTGACCTATGATAATAATAATATAAATAATAAGTAAAAGTTTACCTTTATACATGTTTTTACCATTCCAAACTTCCTTTTCTATTGGGATCCATTTTCATAGTTCTTGGAGGAAAAAATCCAAATGGATGATGAATTAGGTACAAGTCCAAGTAGTCGGTTTGCAGCATTTCTAAGCTCTTGTTTAGATATCTGATGATATTTAATTTTATATTATATTTAAATTAATAATTGTAGTTTTAAATATTTAAAGCAGTTCGTACATATTTACTTCACATCGTCGTAATCCATAAGGTGGCAATTTTGATGTGATAAATAATTCTTCTCTTCTGTTTCCTTTAGCCAGCCATTTTTTTAGAACTTTACCAATTGATATCTCGTTTCTATATATGAAAGCTGTATCTAAATGTCTGATAATAAATATAAGATATATTATTATTATTATTATTATTTTATTTTTTAATATAACAATGTTTTCTGTAAGTATTGATGAAAATTATTATTTGCTTCCATCAATTATTTTGCTTATTAGTTCCATCAATTAAAACAATTATTTTTTTATTGGGTATGTCTGCAGTACGAATCCAGCCTTGATTTAAATAATTTATATTCTATTTTAAATGGGTTTTTGAAAAAAAATGTTACACCATTTTTTGACTTTCAAAATTGAAGAAATCTGAGTAAGATTCTCCGCGATTTATACAAGAACGACCGTGTAATTCAAAGTTATTTTTGATATTTTTTCTAAATTTATTTTTGCTTGGTAAAATTATAAGTAAGTAGATCATGTTTATTTAAAAAATAACTATTTCTTAAATTACTTATAAGAAAAATGATCAAAATTCATACATAATGGTTCATTGTTTTAAAACTTTGTGAATTCTCATCATCAGTGGTGTAAAATATTTGGTGACCAATGGTGTAAGAATATAATGGAGTAATATATGAAAATTATTGATTAAACTAAAGATAAATGGTTTTAATAAGTAATTGTTTATCAATATTTTATTATTATTAATATTTTATTACCTATATCCAATTTCTAATGCATTTTCAAGAGCCAATTCAGTTGCATTTGCATCGTACATTTGCCAAGTACCAAAACCAATTCTTGGCATGCGAATTCTGCATCCTAATTTTGTTGGTTTAACTTGGCAGGACATTGTGGTAATTTTTTTAATATAACTAACTTTACAATTTTTTTATTTTATTGAATGACATATTTTGTGATAATAATGATCTTTATAAACTATTTATCTCTAAATATTTTTTTTGGATTTTTATAGTTTTATATATTTTTTTCTCATAGTTATATTTTAATCAATGACTTTGTCAGTTTGACTTTCTCATGAACATATTTTTGTTTTTGCATTTGGCAAAAATTAATATAATCAATGGTAAATTTGAAATTTACATAATTTTATATTAATTGTTTGGGATAGATGCAACATGTATCAAAGTGCACGGAATTGCGCAAAGTGGTGTATTAAGCGAGAAATCCTCTTAACGCGGTTTCACTACATATATAACACATCATATATATATAATACATATTATATTAAGACTCCTTATTATAAATGTGGATGCTTGATTTTGACAAGCAAGTTTTTAACTTTCTGAAAGCAAAGATTATGTTTTGCCAGAAAATCCGACTTACCAAAATTACCTTGACGTTACCAGTCATTCTGAATTGTTTGACACCAAAAATGCAAAATGTGTGCGTTTGTGTTAATGTGAGATAAAAACTTATCTTTCCATAATATTTTCTCAAAAACTGCTGAACTAATTTCAAAAATTTAAAAGCCATTTGGTAAAACTCGATAAGGACTAGCGTTCATATATAATAATAATTTTAAAAAAATAGTATAAATGAGGATGCTTAATTTTGACTTATAAAGTTTATTTTTACCTGAAAATCCGATTTGCTGATTTTATGTTTTCTCGACGTTACAAGTAATTCTGAATAGTTTGACACCAAAATTGGTAAATATATATGTGCGTATGTGGGATAAAATTTGGCCTTAACATGATGATTTTTCAAAAACTGCTGAACCGATTTCAAAAATTTAAAAGCGATGTGGCAAAACTCGATGAGGACTAGCGGTCTAGTTTTGTGAGACGATCGGCAGAGCCGTTTTTTTTATAATTAGCATTTAAGTGCATAATTTGGCCATCAACGTTTTCGCTAAAAAAAACTGAATCGATTTTCATAATTTGAAACATTGGTATTAAGTATGTGATGCAATATCTTGAAGAAAAAATGTTATGATATTATTGTAGTTTATTTAAGGCTTGTAGATCTTGAAATTGTTCTGGTGGTAGAAAAAATGTGCAATTTTTATTTAAATCCCAAGTTTGGAAAATAATTAATAACAGCAGTATCAAGAAAAAAATATAATATGAAAATAATTGTAATATACTAGTTGGGAATAGTGTTGATTTGATTTTAGTAAAGATCAGCCGTTCGTTTCTCTTTAATTAATTGTTGAAATTTTTTGAGATTTTGATGATACCTTAACTAACGTACTAAAATATTATAAAAAATTGTTCAATAAATTATATTAAATTAATACTACTCTAACTCATCAGTCAGCAAGGTAACTATTAATTAATAGTTACCTTGCTGACTGATGAGTTAGAGTAGTATTAATTTAATATAATTTATTGAACATTCATACGAAGGTAGACCCGTAACATAGCGTTGCCATATTATTTCTATTTCATCCCAGAATTGGCCCAGTTTTCCTTAATTGAAAATGACTCTTACAACTAGTTTTTTAGAATTTGATAATAACATCCAAATTATACATTTTCAAATATTTATTTACGTTATCAGGGATACATTTACTTCAAACTTTTAAAAGACTTGTAGACATATTTAAATAAAGTAAAGGTAACATATTTATAAGTAAAATAATATACATTGATAAAAGAAGAGTATAATATAAATATATTTAAGTAAACTAAAAGTGCTCCACAAAATCTTTATTTACACCTTCTTGAGGCATTATACTTCTGCAAAATCCTATAACCGTCTCTTAGGGCAAATTTGCCCAGGTCGCCTGGCATCAGCATCAGGACTGCCGTTTGAATTTCCAAAGTAGTGATTGTCTTCTGGTTGGCATGTTTGACCAATTGGGATGCCTCGGACGCTATCCTTTCTAAAATGTCCTGTTCGAAGCTCTCCATAATACTCATAGCCTTTTTCGAAATACTCATGTGGGGGTGAACTTCTTTAAGGATTTTGTGAATATAAATGCCATAGCTTTCTTTGCGCTTACGATTTCTTCTATTGCCTCGATTGTAGGAAGGCATGGTAAAGGATTACTACAGCTGGATTATAAAGGACACTTCTTCAATATTATATGTAAAATAATGATTGTAATTTTAAAAACGCACAATACTACTTCACTTCACTTAATTGTTATATTTAATATTTTTAATCTTCATACTTCAGACTGAAATTTTTATTTATATATTTATTCATTTTCAATTCAAATTCCGCGGTTTGTCAATTGTCATTTGTTATATTGTTCAATTATTTATTTAATTTTGGACTTTTATTTATTTATTTACATATATACATTATTTTCATATCTCAGTCAGACAGAGGTGCCTGGTATGAGAGATTATGAAAAACAGTTTTCATATAATATTTACATTTCATTTGACTATAATATCTATTTCATTAATATAATATCTATATATAACTCTTCAGTCTTCTTTTTCTTCAATTTCCATATAGTACTTCTTTATTTTTCTTTTAAAATTATCATTATCATTGGTCATCTTAATATAGTCTGGCAATTCGTTATATATTTGGTAGCACTCCATATGACATTCTCTCAAATTCTTTTTTCTATTGCGTTCAATGTGAAAATTGTTGTGTTGTCTGTGTAGTGTTCATGTATATCTTGATTTGTGTCTATGTTGCACTTGTTTTAATTCGGTTAAATTTCATTTTGTGTATTAGTTTGCATTTCTCTATTTTAATTATGTTATTTAGTGAATGATTATTTGTTTTCTCTGCAAGTATTTGGTGGGTGTTAGATGTGGTAAATTATATGCTATTTTTATGGCTTTATTCATTATTCTCTGTATGTCATTTAGGTTTGCTTTAGTTGTTTGGCTCCATGTTGTTTTGCCATATAAAATTATAGGTATTATTTGCGTTTTAAGAATTAGTATTTTATTTTTTTTGCCGAAAGAGTGGATCCTTTTCAATGCCCCTGTTAATGTTCCTATCTTTCTTTTTATTTTGTTTATATGGTCTGTCCATGTCAGTTTTTCATTTATTATCAGTCCTAAGTATTTTATGCTTTCCACTTCCTCTATTGCTCTATTATTTACTTCAATTTTTAGTTTAGTGTTCTCAGTATTTTTTCTATGTTTGAAATATATGTATTTTGTTTTATCTATGTTAATTGTTAGTTTATTTTCAGTTAGTTTTCAAAAACTACTTAATTACTTTTTGTTTTTCAAATTACTATGTCACTTTGTTTATTATATTGTTAATATTTTTTAATATTTTTAATCTTCAACTTTTACACTGACCATTACAAATTTAAATTCCGCGGCTTATCGTTTATCCTCCATTTTTTTAATTTTATTGTTGGTACTATGGCGATAGTTTGACAAACGTCAAGTTGACGTCTTTGACATTGACATTTAAATTTTAGCAATCGTATAACCTAAAAGTGATTTTTTTTTAATTCCAGCTGTTTGTGATAACTTTTATATATTTTTTTAATTTTATTTTGATATTTGGATTAATATACAAGAATCATAAAATGGATGGCGGTAATACAAAACCTCCAGGTTAGTTATTGTAAACTTTCAATTCAATATTGCATGTAATTGCACAGGTTTTCTCTTATCGTTTGATCTTAGAAAGTTAAGCTTTGGCTTTCGATTTTTTATAAAAATTTACCTTTTTCAGAATAAACTTCTCGCTTTATTAGTAATTCGAAATTTAAATAATTAATTAAATTTTTTATTATTTATTATAATTTTAAATTTGTTTAATTTGCTTGTAGTATAAATAATTCCCAGATTTAAATTTAGTTTAGGATATCTCAAACTCTCTCCTCATCATTTACTTATCATCAATTTTTTTTTTATTTTATTTTCATATCTCAGTCAGACAGGGGTGTCTGGTATGAGAGATTATGAAACAATTTTTATATTTTATATATACATATCATTTGCCTATTTCATTTTTCATTATACAACAATATCTTAAAATATCTGTTCAATCATCAATTTCTTTGTAATGTTTTGTTATTTTTCTTTTGAAATTATTGTCGTCCTTGGTATTCTTAATATCGATTGGCAGTTCATTGTATATTTTACTTGCGCTTATTATTTATTTAGATTTTTTATCAAAAATTTATACTATAATTACATCAAAAATTTGCTATTGCATGTAGTATATCGTTTAGATGATGCCGAGATTTTAAGTTGTTTTACACTTCAGCTTTATTATTTACTTATGACCACCTTTCGATTTCTTATAACAATTTATTCTACTGTTGAATTAAATTGTATGCATTCAATTTGCTATTGCATGGCTTATATTGCATATGATATTTAATCTTTTCTATAAAACATTTATACTAAAGGCATATTAAATTGTAAATATTCAATTTTTTTTAATGTAGTATATCACACACTATATACATTTAAAAGCAATTTGATTTGCCATTGCATTTTGATTTAGTTTATCTATATACCTCGTCTAGTTTTTCATTTACAGTTTTTTAATTTTTTTACAAAAATTCATACTAAATGCATATTATACGTTTACTACATTACTACTACTACTACTACATTACTACTACTACTACATTTCCACAACTCTCACATCACCATTTTCATGCATCTCATTACTCCCAAACAAAAATCAATCTAAATCGCTCTAATCTATTTTTTAGGCATGACGCCAGGCTGGAATGATCCCCCAATTTTATCACACAATGTGAAAAGCAATACAAATAAAACAAACAAGTTATCAAATAAACGAGTGGCTTTTCCAATTTCTAGCAATTCTAACATGCCTCAAAATATTCCTCAAAGTTCTCAGATTCCTGCAATGATGCCACAGTCGCAACCTATATTTTGCAATATACAAAATTTTAATGAAGCTCCTAATATGAATAATGAATACAGATCATAGATTGATTTATTTTGATATATAAAAACTTATGTGATTTATATTGGATATTTATTTTGTTATAAAAAATATTTTAATTACAATTAACAAGCTTAAATGTATATAATAATAAATAGTAAAATACAATTCATTAACTATTTTTTTCATACTGCATTTCAATGTGTTGCTTTAGGCTATCAAAATTATTTTCATTGATGTTTTTTCTGATTGTTTCAAAAAACTTCATATAGTGATGTGTTTATGTCTGAAAAGAAGAAAAAACATTAATTTTTATTAAAAGACATTAATATAAAAAATAAATATGTAGGCAATATTTACATGCTAGTAAAACTGATCCTAGTAACTCTTTTGTAGCCGTTAAATGGTTTACATAGGCTTTTGTGTGTTTGGTACAAGCTAAACACTGGCAATCTTTCAATAAGGTGTGAAATCTTCTTTATACCTAAAAAAATATAATAGACTTATATATTTTGTTAATTCCTTCAAGAGAAATTCCTTAGAAAATATTTTTTATAATATTATTTAATGTTATTTTGAAGAAACCATACTTATCATCAGCCAAATTTATTCTGCTTCATTCCCATTTTGATTTTTGGGTTCAAAACTGAATGTTAAGGCACAATTTCTTTCTGTAGCATTATTTGCATAACTTGTGTCGAAAACATCAATTCCCAGAGATATTAATTTCATAATAATTATTGGTGGAAAGGAACCACTAACAGACCGTAGTAATGAAGGTGGTGAATTTGACTGAAAATAGAAAGAATATAATAAATAATTAAAAAATATGATAAGCATTTAGATCTCATGCATAATTATTATAAATTATTAATTGTAATCAATTCTTATTGAATTAAATTTCAAATTATTAATGATTAAATTCAAATTGTTAGTGATATTTATTTCATTAATAAAAATTCTATTTTCATTAAACTGATAAAAAAATTAAATTAAAGATTGTGCCATAAAATGTAAAATATCTATGTAATATAAAGGAATAATATTTTTGCTATAAATAGCAACTGCAGAGTATAAAAAATTCATATACAAATAAATTAAATCCTTTTAATTTCAACTTACAATTACATATTCTATGATTTTATAAAAATCATCATTGCAAAGATTTTCATTAAATGGTCCATTTGCTTGAAGACCATTAATCAATATTCCTCCTACACTTGAAAAATACTTCGATTCCAAAATACATTTCAAACTATTTTCACAATGGTTTTTGCTGTATCCTCCGGTTACTGCAGCTGTAAAATAATATCAATTAATAGTATTACAGTAATAATATAATGATAAATGATTTTTTATTAGCATACCTAAGACAAAACAATTTTGCATTAGCCATTTGTTATCAACATGCAATTCCATGCATTTGTTGAACATTTCATAGATTTCGAAACAGCTTTTGTTAAAAGCTTTTCACTACTATTTGGTCCAGTGTTGTCATCACAAAGTGTATGATAAATATCTGGTTTAAATTTTGAAATTATATCTATATATCTGGAAAAAATATAAAATTATTAACTATTTTTTGCGAAATAAGTATTACTATTTTTTGTATTTACTTTGTAGGATCTAACAGAACTTTTCCATGTCTAGTCCATAATGGTATATTATTTTTATCACTGTGCCCTTCCACTGATTTTACACACAGTGTCCTAAAAGAATTATTAAATGATATATACTTTAGCAAACAAACTTGTCTTCTTATCACAAATTTAATAAATATTGAAGAATATTAATATATTTATACTTGAAAGGATAAATAAGTAAGGCAGTCTCCCATAGCTGCAAATTTAGCATGCCGTCTTTAAAATCTTCCAAAGATTCAAAAATGTAACATCTAAAAATGTCATGTACTTGTTAATGATACGCTGATAGCTTCTGGATTTTTTGTAATCATTTCAAATACTTCTCGTGATGTGGGGTAAATTAGCACCCTGTAAAAAATTGTTTGTTAATTTAATAAAAAATATAGTTTTTATTGCAAGATGTACCACATTTTATATTTATTTGAGACAATATTTAAAAAAAATCAAGTTATAAATGATAAAAAGTAATTGGTAAATATTTTTGTTTATAGAGCCGGTAAAATAAAAAGTTGATAATATTTTGGTAAAACAATTTTAAAAAAGACTGATAAAATTTTGGAAAGAATATTAAAAATTATTGTTGGAACATTTGAATAGCTTCATTGTCTCGGAGTAACACATATTATCAACCTAACTCTGGTTTTCTTTTTTTTTTTGTAAAATATCTAGAAGCATTTCATTTTAAAAGATTTTTACAAGACTTTTGGAAGATGTTTTTGGATCAATCACTAAAAGTAGATTATCGTTCTTTATATTTTATTCAATTTAATTTAACTAAATTGGTTTAAAGCAAGTATTTAAATGCAGTAAATTTCTCGACTAAATGGAAACTAAACTAGATCTATTTTGCATCATCAGGTGATTTACTAGATCTTATATTTTCAGTCATCTAATGGTTTATTAAATTATAGCAATGGTGCACGACCTATAAAAAACATTGTTTTGGACAATATTCAACTAGTATTGTTTTTTATTTATCAACTACAGATTATTTATAATATTATGTAAATATATATATATAGATATATATATATATATAGTAATTATTTTTATTAATTAATTTTTGATATCTCGTTTTCAAGATCTTTTGTTTATTTCCTAAAGCGCGCCCCATAGGTTTAAGACCACTGATTTAACCTCACTTTTTTGGCCATTATTTGTCTCAATGATTATTTTTTAAAAGGTAATTTACAAATATGAAAATGTGGCACATCATTCAGAATGAAATGTTCAACTGTCATTTCAAAAATAAAATTTTTGCTATCACTGAAAAAATATCAATACATTGATGTCGTTCAAAAATATTTAATATCTGTAATTGTTATAAATTAAATTAATTTTCTATTCACATTTCATTTTATTTATTTCGTGATCAAATTTTTTTTATTTGAGTGTCAACGTCAACTGTAATCAGTAGCTGCCGGAACCAGGAAACGGAATATACATTCTCTATAGATGTTGATCAAAACAGACCAATCCTCGATCTTGTTGAGATACATCTAAAGGCTTTTAAATTTTTGAAATCGGTCCAGCCGTTTTTGAGCAAACGGTGACGAATGGTCAAAATTCGACTCACATACACACACACACATATTTCCAAATTCGGTCATCATTCGAATGACTAGAAAAAACAATAATTATTGTTTGCTATAATTATTTAGTAGTTATTATAAATCCGATTTGCTAATACTTTAAAGTATTAGCAAATCGGATTTTTCCTCAAAAGCAAACTTCTCCTTAGGGAAGTTAATAAATAAGAATTCAAATTTGGCGGTTCAATAAATATCTTAACTTCCCGTAAGGTAATTTATAGTAATCGCAAAAAAATCGAAAATGAAATATTTTATGTATCTTTACGTTTCAGAGGTTTCTGAACATTTTGCCATACCTTAGTTAGAAAAAATGGATGTATGTGTGTGTGTGTATGTGTGCGGATACAAATTTTCGTCGACGATTTTGGGAACACTTATCAACCGATTTGAATAATTCAAAAAACATTCGGTTCGTATTGATAAGGAGACGTGTTGATTAGTTTTTGGCAAAGGCAGGTCTAGCCGTTTCGAAGATACGGGGCAAAAAGAGCCAAAAACGGTAACTCAGTTTTTAAGAGAACGGAGCGTTCGATTTTAATAATTCAAAAAACATTTTACTTGTATTGACAACATGAAAAATTGATTAGATTTTTGGGAAGACAGGTCTAGCAGTTTTGGAGATCTAGTAAAAAAAGTAAAAAAGAAAATCGCAATTTGGCATTTACATTTTCAAAGCTTTCGTAACATCGTTGCTATGAAAAAAGTTCAAAATTGTGCTTTGAAAAAAGTTCAAAATTTTCAAAATAAAAAAACTTTTTTTTTTTTCAAAAAGTCTTTTTCCAAAAATTTTACTTTTGAACTTTTTATCATTTACTTTACTTTTAATTTTTGGCAAAGGCAGGTCTAGCCGTTTCGAAGATACGGGGCAAAAAGAGCCAAAAACGGTAACTCAGTTTTTAAGAGAACGGAGCGTTCGATTTTAATAATTCAAAAAACATTTTACTTGTATTGACAACATGAAAAATTGATTAGATTTTTGGGAAGACAGGTCTAGCAGTTTTGGAGATCTAGTAAAAAAAGTAAAAAAAGAAAATCGCAATTTGGCATTTACATTTTCAAAGCTTTCGTAACATCGTTGCTATGAAAAAAGTTCAAAATTGTGCTTTGAAAAAAGTTCAAAATTTTCAAAATAAAAAAAACTTTTTTTTTTCAAAAAGTCTTTCTTCCAAAAATTTACTTTTGAACTTTTATCATTTACTTTACTTTTAATTTATTTAAATTTAAAATTTCTCAAAAATCTAATTTTTTCAGTTGAAAAAAAAAATGCCTCAAGGCACAATGCCATGCACCACTAGTTTTAATACTAAAAACAAAAAAATGTTCTTGCATCTCAATCAATTACTATACATCAATTTATTTCTCTCTCAAAAAAATACAATTCATTATCAACATTTATATATTTTAATCATCTATCTTATTATCTTTTTCTTCAATCTCTTCTGTATATGTCTCATCATCAACATCTAAAACCTCATCCGGGTTCTCAAGCTTCAAAAGCATATTCTCCATGGAAGTTATAAATGTAGTTTCTGAAAATTCTGGCCAGGATTTAAATTCAACAAACAAGCTCAAAAGTTGGCTTGGAGTCAAATCTCCAAATTCAGTAAAAATTGAAATATTTTGAGCAAAATCATTTGTTCGAATTTCGGAACTTTCTGTAACTATATCAAAGCCATCCACATTCATTGTTTTTGCGGGCTCTATTTTGAATTTGTTATCTGGTGCTATGATTAATTTTGGACCACAATTCGGCACCCAGCGCCTGGGGTAAAGGACAGAGTAATAAATGATAATGTTTTAAATGTATTGGATTAAAATTTCTTACTCCAGGCATGATATAACTTTGTTTTTTCTACTGAGCAAGTTGCATCTAACAAAGTACCAAAGTTGTTTCAAATCTTGAGGTTTACAGAACTCGTAAAGATTTTCTCTTGGTTCCAATCTAACTAAATACAAATGGTCTGAATCCAAACAACGTAACTAAAATTATGATAACTATTATAAAAATTTAAAGATTTATTTTCTGTAATTAACAAAACCTTTGAAGTTTTTGTATTTATTTTCTTTTCGCTCTGAACCCATGGCAAAAATGACTTTCTTGGTACTTTGCATAAAAATTTAAATTTAAATAATATTTGAAACATGATGCTTGAAGCTCTGTAAAACATATAACCGGTGTTTCCGTTACAAGTATAATGCTGAAAAAATATACAAAAATAAATAATTACAAAAGAGGTATAGATTTAATTTTATTTTACTTACAATATATTGTCTTGGTGTTATAACAAGAAAAAATTGATGTCGTCCCCACATCATTAGACTGTGTTGAAAAACTAAGGATGTTATAAGATGATTTAAAAAACTATTAGAAGGGGCGATACCAATAATTGTTGAACAAAAATCTGTAAAAAGAAATTAACAATTAGTACAAATAGCCATGTATTTTAAATGATTAAGGAAAGAATATTGTTAAGTAATATATATTATATATTTAAAGTATATATATATATATATATATATATATATATATATTATATATATATTTATATTGTTAAGTCATTGGTTCGATCATTAGAAAATAACTTTTGAAATTTTTGTAATTATTGATAATATTATAAGAATAAATCCAATATATTTTAAAATAGTTATGTTATAATAATTTTTTTTCTTAACCTTTTCCCCAAGGAATTTGGGGTAAATCCCCTAATAGCACTGCTACTTTTTTACTACTTGTATGTTTATCTTGATAAGACAATTTCCAAACATCATAAAAACTTGTATAATAAAGATTAATTCTGTTTCTGTGAACTTCGTTTAAGGCCTAAAAAACAAAGAAAAATTTGAAGTACAATAATATAATTTAAATATATCAAACATCTTTAACAATTACATTTAAAGCTTTAACAAATTGTGTATTAGGTTCATATAAAGTAATTTCTCGTGACCAGTTATTCAGAAGCAAATCTGTGAGCAATCCTAATCCTGGATTGACTTCAATTAAACTACTTTCTCCGGCAGATGAAGTTTGTAAGTACGGCAATATTGCAAACAAAATATCATAAGCCGTATCTTTATTAATTAAATAAAGACCTTCAGGAGCTACTCGTCTGTATTTGAATAATTTTTCAGGAATCTGATCTTTTATTTCTTGAAAGTTAGCGTCGTTTTCTAAATGTATTAGTACATTTGTTTTAGATTTTTCTGGTGTCTTTTTCTTCTTTTTAACAGGTTTTGAGGGAATTTGTTCATCATCATTTGTTATACTTGGATTTGTCTCGTTTGAAAATAAACGTGAACAAATGTTAAATAAAGCATGTGGTTTTTGATAAATATTATTGGCACGTATTGAATATAATTTAAACTTGGAACCTGTTATTAGATATTTTATACTAGAAAAACACTTCATTCTTAAATATAAATTTTGAGGTTAGGTTAAAAATAAACAACTTAGAAATTAATTTGAAATGCAGAAGAGAATTATAGCAAATTTTGTTTCATAAAATACATAATAATATAAGAAAACGATATGTTTATAACTTATTAAATCATTTTAAAGTTGCTGTGATAGAAATTACATTTTGATAGTTTGACAGTTCAAAACAACAAATAGAAAAATCCTAGACAATATAATAATGATGGAAAGAAAGAGAAGATAATTTCGACCAGTATCCCGCTCATGCTTATTTATCTATGACACCACTTTTAAAAAATATTCAGTGATAAAAAAATATGATAAATTTTAGGTTTGAATAAAATACATACTCTTCTTTTATCTTTATTTCAAAAAATATTCAGTGACAAAAAAATATTAATAAATTTTGGGTTTGAATAAGATACTCTTCTTTTATCTATGGTATGTATCTTATTCAAACCCAAAATTTATTAATATTTTTCTGTCACTGAATATTTTTTAAAATAAAGATAAAAGAAGAGTATGTATTTTATTCAAACCTAAAATTTATCATATCTTTTTATCACTGAATATTTTTAATAATTCAAATGGGAATAAAAGTTGTCAATCCAAATTGTTGTTTTTTTTTTTTACAAATGTAAAAGTTTTCAATAATTTAATATTATTGGAGTGTTAAAATATATTAATAGAGATAGAAATTTATCTAGAGTTTATTCAATAAATAAGCAGCGTTTAGATCTTAAACTTATTAAACTTTAAATTTATAAAACGAATATGTTCAATGTATTATAATTTTATGAAAAATATTTATTTTGAACTTTATGCCCGTTAAATCAGAACCACCAACAAAATATATATTATTACCAACGTGCCAACATTTAAAAAATGGGTTGGGTCAAATTATGACAGATCTGACATTTCTCCAGACAGTTAACCTATAACCTTACAAAAAGTCTGAGTCTGGAGTTTTTACCAGTGCTAGTTATTAAGATAACTTAATTAAAAATAAATAATAACAATAATGTCGGTTAATTTAAAAACCATATACGCTTTTGCGCGAGAGATGCATTCCAAAAATATAAATAAGCCTATACAATATGGTACAGCTGGATTTCGGACCAAGTAGGCAGAATATTAATATTAATAGTAAAATACTAGATTTTCATAACATCATCATATATGTTAATATCCATCATAGAATATTAATTACATATTTCATTTTTTCTCTAATTAAATATTTCCAATTAATCCTTTTACAGAGCTACAGATTTGGACTATGTCATGTTTCGTATGGGGGTTCTTGCAGCTCTTCGTTCTCGTGTTAAAAGTACAGCAGTCATTGGATTAATGATAACAGCTTCACATAATCCTGAAGAGGATAATGGTATAAAGCTCGTGGACCCCCATGGTGAAATGCTTGAACAAAGTTGGGAAGAGTTAGCAACCACTTTAGTCAATGTTAGGTACATAAGCTTTTATGAATAATATGAAAGTCATATTGTGACTCAAAGAAACTGAATTATTATCCTTTCATTTTTAGTGATTCAGAGTTAGAGGCTACAGTTGAAAAAATTGTAAAAGACTTGAATATCGATCTTAACTTGAAGGCTAATGTATTTATTGGTATGGATACAAGGTAAATCATTGGATATTATTTTTAGTTGCATATTATTTATTAATATATAATTTTTATGAATAAATAGGTATAGTAGCCCTAGTCTTTGCAAAGCTGCTGTTGATGGAGTATTATCTATTAGAGGATCTCCCAGAGAATTTGGTATTGTGACGACTCCAATGCTTCACTATTTTGTTTTATGTGCAAACACTGATCAGGCATATGGAAAACCTACTGAAGAAGGTAATATTTTTGATAAAAAATCTTAGAATCATTTTCTTTAGATTTCTATATTTACAAAACAAAAAAAAAACACATCTTTCGCTTTTCTAAAATTTAACATGGAAGATTTTCAGCTTTAACTTCAAAATAAATAGAGTATTAATTTATTATGAATTATTAAAATAATAGAAGAATTATTAAAAAGTGATATGGTTTTATTATTCATTTATTTTTATATTTCAGGCTATTATACCAAATTGATAACTGCCTTCAAAACCCTTCGTGGCGATGTTACATTCAATGGCAAGTATACACCAAAGTTTTTCTTTGATGGTGCAAATGGAGTTGGTGGCAAAAAAATGGTTCAATTTCAAAAAAGACTGGGTGAAAGCATAGATGTTGATATATATAACAACGGCAAAGGAAAATTAAACCATAAGGTATAAACTTAAAATTTTATTAAGAAATACAATAGCTATAAGATTAGTAAAATACTCAATTTTTGTTATAGTGTGGGGCTGATTTTGTGAAAGTTCAACAGTGCTCACCCCAAGGAATGCCAGTTGAAAAGAATGTCCGGTGTGTTTCTGTCGATGGAGATGCTGATCGGATTGTATATCACTTTGTTGATGATAATGATGTTTTTCATTTGTTAGACGGTGATAGAATAGCCACACTTCTTGCTGGGTTCTTAATGGAAAAAGTTAAAGCTACAGGTTAACTAAACACTTTATCAAACAATTACTAAGTGCAATTTATATCTAATCAAGCTTTAACTATTTATTTTAGGTATGGATATTGGTTTTGGCTTAGTACAGACAGCTTATGCAAATGGAGCCTCAACACGATATATTACTGATGAATTGAAGGTGTCTGTGGCATGTGTTCCGACAGGTGTTAAACATTTGCATCATAGAGCTCAAGATTTTGATATCGGTGTCTATTTTGAGGCAAACGGACATGGCACTGTATTGTTTTCAAATGATGCAAAGTTAAAATTGAAGTATGCTTCTATGGACACAAGGTAATAATTGAATTATAATTTTCATGATATTTTATAACTTTAATGTATTTATAATTAATGGGAAACTCTGTAATTAACTTAAAGCTAAGGCTTATATTATAAATTTTCTAATAATAAACATTTAAAAGATTTTTTATGAGTATATTTTAATAGTACAATTAATATTTGTTATTCTTTCATTTTTTTCAGTTTGGAGGAATCTCAAATAAAGGCAGCCAAGGAATTAATGTGTTTAATAGATCTTACGAACGAAACTGTTGGTGATGCTATATCAGATATGCTTTTGGTTGAAACTGTTTTACACAGCCGAGGATGGGATCTCAATGATTGGCTGAGTACTTACACCGATCTTCCAAATAGACAACTAAAAGTCACTGTACAGGTAATAATAAAAATACAAGTATTTGATAATTGGTTGTTATAAATTAATTTTACAGTGAAAATTTAATATGAAATAGAAATAGATTGGTTGCTGTTCTTAAGATCTTAAAATCTTTTTGATAGATTGATTTTAAAAGCCGACTTGCAAAAAATATAATATCAGTTTTTTTTTATAAATGCTTAAACAAATTTAAAAATAGTATTTGTTATTCATTTCACATTGACCATGTAATATGGTTCAATTATTCTATTTTAGGATCGAACTGTGATTACAACTAAAGACGCCGAGAGAATTTGTGTCACTCCAGAGGGTCTCCAGGACGAAATTAAGAATCTTGTTAACAAATATCAAGACGGCAGGGCATTTGTGAGACCATCTGGTACAGAAGACATTGTCCGTGTGTATGCAGAGGCAGCTACTAGAGAGGTAAATAACTATAAAGTGATAATTGATTTAATTTACAATTTTTTCAGGTTTAAATTTCTACTTTCAAACCCAGATTTATGATCAAAGCAATTGATACAATCTAAATATTCATATTAACATATTAGCTAAATTTAATTAGGTTTATTCTTAATATTTATTTTTTAATATGTCATATCAGGAAGCAGATTCATTAGCTTCCGATGTGGCAAGAGCAGTTTATAGATTAGCAGGAGGTGTTGGAGAGGAACCCAAACATAATTCTGCATACTAAATTTGGTAGTGAGTTTAAAAATTCTGTACTGCATTTATTATAGAAACTTAAATTTAGTGCATATTTCATATCTCAGGCATGTAGAATTAGCCTTTTCCATAAAACGTAACCGACGATTTTTTTAATATTCAATATTTTATCGGAAATAGGAAAATTATAATGAACGGACGTTTTGTATGTATAATAATTTTTATACCTTAGTATTTTGTAAAATTCTTACAAAAGATTTTATAATATTTTTTACATATTTTTTCAATTAGAAGCTTTATAAGAAGTATTTTTTTATAGAATATCTTTTATACTGAAATCATGACATCAATTGCATTTATAGTTTAATACGAATAGTATTGACTGATATTTTTAGCCATAACTATTTTTTCTGGAAAATGGGGTTTTTATACTTTTTTTGCTTCATGTGATTTATTAAATAAGTAAATGAGCTTATGTAATATTTATAGATATCGTACACATTTTTTAAAGTAGCACCCTTATAATAATTTTTACAGGAATATTTAATTCCAATATGCTTCTAGAAATAGTTGGTTGATGGTATTACAATTTAATATTCATTATCTTGTCTTAAAATGATGCCTTTTTAATATTCAATAATAATTGCAAAGTGAATTATTTAACATATTAATTCGCTTAATTTATTTTTATATATCCAATGCTCTAGTATTAAAAATTATAAAAGTATTTTATATTTATAGCAAAAACAACATGTTCTGTTTATTTTTTCATCAAAAGTCTTTATTTAAAACTGATTGAAAACAAAAGTATTATAACAAAAAGCAATATATGGAAATATAGTTAAATATTTGTTAAGACTGTTTGAGTCTTTTGCAAAATTTTTTAGTCTGAATTTTTCATTTTATAGATTCAATATAAACAAGTTTTATAAATGCTTTGCGATAAACTTTATTAGATTTATATATTAAGATTTTTAGAAAATTAAACGTAATATAATGCATTCTATTGCATTCAAAACTAACACTGCCTAAATAAAATTATAGTACACTTTAATACTAATATTGTGATTTCAAGTAAACTTGAAATGTATATTTTCCATATCAATTTGATATACTTTAGATACGTGGCAAAGAAAATAGTTACAAGATTTTGACAATTTTTATTACTTTGTTATTATTGCATCACATTTGAAAAAGAAATTTGAAACCGGTTTGAGGGAAAAATAAGACGACAAACTTGATTTATTCTTATATTTAATAATTTTTTAAAATTTATCTATGAAGGTTTATATTCTACAAATTTGTTGTGGATGAACCTGTTATTTATTAATAGTATTTAAGTAATGAAATTTTTATATTTAAGATATATTTTAGATTGATTTATTGGCCAAATTAGATTAGATTTATTGCTATTAATATTCTTTACTACGTCATGTTAATTTCGAATTTATTTGAAAGAAAATATTGAATACTTGTGTTTAATACTAAATTTATTTTAATTATATTATTGTCCCTTTCGCACTCACATAGCTTTAAGGCGAATGAAAGAGACAGAAATACTTTTTTGCTGAACTGGTTTGGTTGGATTAAAAATGTTATATAATTACCAAAAGAAATGTGACAATATTTTCTTGCCATAGTTATAAGTAATATTGATTTTGTTATATATCTAGAAACATTCTATTATAAAGTTAGAAAGTGTTTGTTTCAATTTGAACCTGGTAGGAGAGAACAACAAATAAATATCAAAGTAATATATTAATTAATTTATTATTATGTGTTCAAAATTTGTTTTAGAAAGTGCTAGTCAAAATTACACCTTTTTATTGTTTAATATACATCAATTACATTGCATTTAATATAATTTTTTAGATACAAGAATAATAAGAATTAGTGAGGTAAAAGAAAATAATATTTCTACAAATTAAATTATAATTTAAAGGGAATTAATAATTTTGAACACATACAAAAAATATATACATAATAGTAATTTAAATGTGCAATATTATGTTTCATTCAAATATGAACTGATTTTTATGTTCAAAATATACATAATTCTATGGTTAAAAATGAGACAGCCATTTCACATTTAAATTACTTTAAAGTTAAACAAATTAAATAATGCATTCTCCAATATATTCAAAATAAATATAATATCACAAAAGATTTATTACATGCATATATAATAAAATTATGTACAAATTATGTATATCGAACAACAAAAAACCCTAAGTTCAAATTGACATAATATACTTTCATTGGGATATTGTATTTTCTTCCGTAAGTGATAAAAGTGGTCCTGAATATTGAGCAGTATCACACCAAAACCAAGCCGGTTGTCTTATTTGAGTCAATTGTACCAAATTGGGCTTAATTTCACTTTCTTCCTTGTAATACGTACAATCTCTTTGCCCAAATTCTTCAATAAAAGCATCGTAGGGAGGTGATAGGATATCTAAAAATGCTGCTGATCCATTTACCGGTTCGATTTCATGGTAATTACCATCGCCCGGGGTTAAGATACAGCACTCAGAATTTTCATCGCATAGTAGGACGTCTAGTTTTTTTGCAACTACTTTTTTTACGGAAAAATCTTCAGGTTGCTCTGTTTCGTTATCAGACTTATCATTTAATTTTAATGTTTCTTCGTGGTCTTCTGAATATGCTTGGATTTTAAATGTACCAGCAATGACTTTTAGTAGACCGTGCATTTGAGGGTGGTCGTGGAGAGGTAGTTTATGTCCTGGATGGACTATGAATATACTTATATTAATATTGAAGTCTTCATAAATTTGTATGTATGTGCAAGGAGTTTTGAAGTCGCTTCTTTGTAAAAGTTTCTCATCCAAATTTACATGCTCCTTAGTTAATTGATCCATTAGGGATTTTAATTTTTCCAAGTTTTTATTGAAGATTTCTGAAGATATGGATTTTCTATATGGGAATGTTACGACAGCTTGTTTGAAGAGATTCATTACATGTTTTTGACACATTGTGATACTTGCAGGCGGTAAAATAAAAAGTGGTAAATTGCGATAAATAATTTATAATTTAAAGTGAAATGTGAATATTTTCAGTTTATGGTTTAAATAAAATTAATAAAATACTGTTTTAGTTATGTATGGTTCACCAAACACGTATTTACAAGTCAAACATTTTGCAAGTGACAACTAACAGTAAGTTTTTAGGTTATGTTGATTATTTTTTTTTTTTAATTTTTTTAATTTTGATTTATATTTAATTTATGCTTCTGTTTAAATTTTAGTATAGAGAAAAATATAAAAATTAGAAAATGTATAATATATATGTATGTAAAACATTTAGGAAATATATTTTAGAAATTAACGGAGTGATATCGATAAAACAAAGTCGATAATACTTATCGATAGTTTTTGAATTTCAGTTAACGGAAATTTTACGACATTTATATATTATTTATTAACTTCCTGTAGGGTAAGTTATAGTAATCACTAAAAAATCGAAAATGAATTTTTTTCATATATTTACGTTTCAAAGGTTTCTGAATATTTTGGCATGCCTTAGATAAACGGATGTGTGTGTGTGTGTCGTGTGTGTGTGTGTGTGCGGATACAAATTTTCGTCGACGATTTCGCGAACACGGATCAATCAATTTGAATAATTCCAAAAGCCTTCGATTCTTACTGATAAGGAGTCGGGCTCATTAGGTTTTGGCAAAGGCAGGTCCAGCCAAAATGGTATTTCAGTTTTTGAGAGAACGGAGCGCCCGATTTGAATGATTCAAAAAACATTTTTCTTGTAATGACGAAATGAATTATTGATGATATCTGGTGAGGCTGGTCCAGCGGTTTTGGAGATACACAGGAAAACGTGAAAAAAATGATATTTGGCGGCCAAAAATGAACATTAGACATATTCACATCAAATTACCAGATATTTGATAAAGTTTTTAAAAATGAGTAATAATTTTGTGACAATTTTGTTTTTAAGTTAAGATTTTTAAGTTTTACAGTTTACATCTACTATATACATATACGGTTCAAGCAAAATTCAGAATTTTCTGAATTTTTTTTTTTCAAAAATATAGAAAGTTTTATACTTTAAATATGAATTTTAAATTTACAATTCAATTTGAAAATGTATATATTTCAAATGCGTTATTCTAATCGTAAGAAATATATCCTCAGAAGGATTTATGTGGCACCTCTTGCTAATGTAAACTTTCTCAAGAGTTTTGAGCGATAAGATGACACTGTATATTTTACAAACGATAAAATATATAGTAATTATAATTATCTATTTGAACATGTTTAAAACAATTGTTATTAATCATTGATCAATGTTTATTGATTACTGATTTTTTTCCCCCAAATATTGAATTCTGGTACGGGTACTTCCAGCAATTTGCTTTAATGCACGATGCCATGCATCACTAGTTTTTTTTTAATTTGATTTCTACCTCTTGCAATGCATATTGAAAAAAATAACAATAATATTTAAAATTGATTTAAAAAAAATTGTTACTAATACTTAATAAAATGATTTCGACCTACTTGACTGTAATTTTCCAGTAGCACATGTGAAACATACATACAATCCTAGTAATAGTTTCTTTAGTAGAAATTCTGTCTGCGAGATGTAAACAAATAGGGCGGGTGGTATGTTTGATGTCGAATATAAATAACGTGTCTAAAAAAAGTCATGACCATAGCATTTTTCATTAGAAATTAAATCTTTGCTTACAACTGAGAGATAAACGAAGCTTCAAGAAATTAGTCAATTTTGCAATGATAAAAGAGCTTTACAGAAGCTTATAGGAAAAAAGTCAAGTACTCTGTTGTTTCCTTTGCCCAAAAAGAAATAGTAAAACTATTAATATAATAATAAAGGAATGTATTTCGAATACGGCTTGCAAGCTAAATTTTGAAGAAATATTTGATCCCAACTGATCTATAAAGCTTTGTGTAAAAATTACACCAAGTTTTAATATATTTGAAACCACATTGTAGAAATTGTGGCTACGCTAATTTCCTCGCAATAAAGATTTTACGACTAAATAGCTGCGTGGGCTGCCAATGCTGGTATTTTATTTGCATTTAAAACCTTTGAGTTCAGAAAACACATATCGTATAATGCGGTGTGGACACAAAAAGTTCTATTTTTGTGACAACGGTCTCACGCAACATATGCGTGCGCAGCAGTAAATAAATTGAAAAACGTTGGCTGCTCAGAAAAATACAATTTTAAATAGGAGTAGTAATGAATAATAATATATAATATTCTTTATAGTTCACCTTCAGGTTCTTATTAGATTATTTCTGCTGACATTAAACTGATAGAAATATGAAATTTACTATTTTAGGACCTGATATCAAGCAGTCGTGATATCCATTTCCACTTGAGAATATAAATTAAAATGTTCTTCAAAAATATATGATTTATAGTTCATCTTCGGGTTCTTATTACATTATTTCAGTTGGATTAAACTGATAGAAATTTGAAACTTACGCCTTTAGAAAAACCTGATATCAAGCAGTAGTGTCATCCATTATCACTTGAAAATATAGCTTAAAATATGCTTCCAAAATCTGTTTGTTTCCGTAATTGGTGCACTTATTTAAGGATATATTTTCATTATTAGAAATAGGACAACTATTGAGAATTTCCTCACAAGATTGTCTCATAGAGATATAGGCCAACTATTGAGTTACCTTCTAAAAAATCTATGAATGAGGAAGAAGTATCATAGGATTCTTTAGTTACATAGATTAAAATATTCTCCAAATATGTCTTTTCTCGTAGTTGATACATTAATTTGAAGATGTATTATCATTATTATAGATAGGACAACTATTGAGAATTTCTTAACAGGATTGTCTTAGAGATTAGACAACTACTGGGTCACCTTCTAAAAAGAGCCATAAATAAGGAATAAGTATCATAGGACTCTTTAGTTCTGATTGCTGATTAAAAGCAAATAAACAAGAAACAATGTTAATAATTAGATATTGCACATCATCACAATATTCATGTAGAAGTATAGGTACTTCAATTTAAATCAAATAATAACCAGAAAACTTTTTAGAAGCTGGGTAATTTTCCAATAAATTTTCAATATTTTCCTGTAGGCCCGATCCAAAATAAAAACAATTCATCTAAATTATTTTCAGCTGCATTTAGCCATCATATAGGTAAATGTGATTTTAATTAAAGACGTTTTGATTACCTTCTTCATTATTAGAGATAGGAAAACTATTGAGAATTTCCTAACAACATGGTCTAATAGAGATCGGACAACTATTGGGTTACCTTCTAAAAAAGCAATAAATGAGAAAAAAGTATTATAGGATTCTTTACTTCTGATTGCTATTTGAATTATTTTCATCCAGAATGAAAATAATTCCTCCGGATTATTTCCAGCTCCATATAGTCCATAGGTAAATGTGATTTTAATGAAAGACGTTTTGTTTACATGATCTCGGGCTGCGCCAGTAATATCTGGTACATGATGTTTACGATTTCCTGAGCGGTAAATGCACGTGTGTTATTCAAAGGCCTTCCATTCTTTGCAGTTGCACTTCTTACATCGACTTGATCAGTTCAGAATTATTCAGATAATGTTGAATCATTTTCATATCATGGCAAACAATTTTCGGAAAATTTGTTGTAAAGTGTGTTGTTGTACTAAAATTTGACTAGAATTTGGATTTACTTGAAATTTGACCGGAACCATGCAAAGGTAACAATTATAAATGTCTACATGTGATATTTGAATCCTGGTTTTGCCTCTTTTAGACCCTAAATGAACTAATGGTTTGAATATATTTTGTGTTAATAAAGATTTTATATTCCGTAGAGTTTGATGTTGTATCGTATTTTCTTACAATTGACATTGATTTTTGTTTATGCACATATGTAATTGCTATCTTAACACGTCCGCGGCTATGAATGCTAAAGCATTCATTCTCATTGTGATGCAGAATGACTTTCAAAGTCAATTATTTCAAGTTTAATTTTATATTACCTACGTTGTTATTATATTTGTCAAGATACTGGACTAACTGATTCTTTAGGTATTTTTGTATTATCATTGCGTAATATAAAAGTGTAATACTTGACGTGAATACTATAGCATTCATCGTATATATCGATTGACTACCCTTTAAAACGGTGTTTAATCAAATTTCGGATATCACAACCAATTTAAAAATAAAATGACTGTCAATTTTTGAACCTTTTTATGCGTAAAATAGTAGCGTACTTCTTGACGTGGATGCTATAGCATTCATCGTATATATCGTTTGACTACCCTTAAAAACGATGTTTAATCAAATTTTGGATATCACAACCAATTTAAAAATAAAATGACTGTCAATTTTTGAACCTTATTATGCTTAAAATAGTAGCGTATTTCTTGACGTGGATGCTATAGCATTCATCGTATATATCGATTGACTACCCTTGAAAACGACGTTTAATCAAATTTCGGATATCACAACCAATTTGACTGTCAATTTTTTAAACTTATTTAATCATTGATGTATTTTCGTATTATCATTGCATAAAATAGTAGCGTAGTTCTTGACGTGGATGCTATAGCATTCATCGTATATATCGATTGACTACCTTTAAAAACGGTGTTTAATCAAATTTCGGATATCACAACCAATTTAAAAAAAAACCTTATTTAAACATTGATGGATTTCCGTATTATCATTTCGTAAAATAGTAGCGTATTTCTTGACGTGGATGCTATAGCATTTATCGTATATATCGATCGACTACCCCTAAAACCGAAATTTAAGATATAACAACCCATTTAAAAATAAAATGACTGACGATTTTTGAACTATGCTGAAACTTTTAATACTGGTCACGAACGTGTTAAATGCTTTTTTATATACTTTGTATAAAATATTTTAATTTTTTGTGTCGGTTTTGACAAATTAATGTTTTTAGATATTTTTCTATGACCATTGCGTAAAGTAGAAGCGTATTTCTTTACGTGGATGCTATAGCATTCATCGTA